ATCCGGTTCGCCCTCTATTGACACAGTGTTGAAACTTTCCGATCGCACCTCGTATGCAGTTTCTTAGGTAACATGGTAAAGATAAAATTATTACTTTTCATTTTCAGACTTAACTTTTATCATTGTTGACTATGAAGATGAGGTAAAGGAATTGTTGATAGATGCCATTGAGTCACGTGGTGGACTTGTGGTTGGCCAGACCTTCAGAGGAATTGCTCATTATGCTGTTGTGCCTTTACATGGTGCTAAAATGTCTCAAACTGCAGTTGAGACTGTGTCATACTTGTGGGTGGTGAGTACAATTTGTGTTTGTTCTGTCCTGATTTCTTTAGATGGATGGGAAATCATTGATTTAAAATCACCTTTATTCACTTTACTATGGTTGAGATATGCAGATGGTTTGTGTAGTGTAGGTTTGTTGATATTGTTCGTTTGGTGGCCCTGTTTTGAAGACTGATTTAGCTTGTATGCATTTCCTTGATCATTGCTTCTGTGTGGTTAGTAGTACTGTTACGTGTTAAGGAGTGTCTGGAGACCAGCTCTCCTAATGGAATGTTTGTGGTTTTCATCAATCTTTTGAGCCAAATGATGATATAGTATCTTGTATTAGGCCACAACCACTTCCTTTCATACACCGTACTTTTCAGTTTTTTATTTAATCCACTGTTGCTAGATAAACCACAAATTAAGAATGAAATACAATTTTGATATTTCATCCATTTGTTTCTCAGTTGTATCAGAGTTTGTCATTTGAAATTTAATAACCATGGAAGGAAGGGAGGACAGTTTAGTAGGAGATGCTGGTGTGATCTTATTACTATTGGTTTGTAGAAACAAGAACCATAAACTGCTGTATTAGTATTTAACATTGCAATGAACAAAGTACTAATACCAGTAGGATAGCAACATAAGAACCTTAACATATACTGAGGGATGACTGAGAAGAAAGACTGGGAAATAAAGTCAGTAAATTACATAAAAGTTTAGAGATGCAGAGTTTAATAATCATTTTCCAAAAAGCATATTCAGTGTTCCCTTTTAAATACCACTATGGCTTTCTGCTGGTCTATTTAAATACCACTAAGTTGTATAAATTCAACTACTATTATGAACTGGTTTGATTTTCTTTTATAACTTGCATAAAATGGAAGAAACTTTGCTAAATATGGTGAAAATATGTTCTGAGAGGATCACAGTTCCTCTTGTCTGAATACTGACCATGTGAGATATTTTTCACTGACTGTACCACTGTCGCTAGTGAGATGTGTAGTAAATGTTGCTTTTCTGCTTGATGTTGTTCAATAGAGAATAAAGCAAGACCAAGTCGATAGATATGACTTTGGTGACGTCTAAACATCTCTTATTGCATGCAGATATACGATGTATAAGCATTGGATTTCATAATCTCAGAGCTATGCTTCCTTTCGCTCTGATTGTGTTCGAAAGTTCAAGACTAAGTTCAGCACCATAAATTTGGAACAGAACGCAAAGTGTAAACGTTGAAGTCTCTACACACAAAGAATGCTTGATAAGAAGAATAAATATGCATATGTCACTGGTGGATTGCTCTATGTGTCAAAAATAATTTAAAAAATATGATTTCCTAGTAGGAAGATGGGATATTTGTTTTATAACTTTATCAGATATAAAATATTTCTATTCTAAGTAAATATGACAGCTACACACCCAATGGTATTCCTTCACAATATGATGCATGGCAAAACGCTTGGTGTGGAATCCTGGCTTCCTTGGACACATGTCAGAATAAAACAACGTTTCTCTCCTGCCTCCTTTCACTATTATAAGGTACGCAAAGTCTTACCAGCAAATCTAGGATAGAACTAGTGCAACGAAGAAGGCTTGAATGATATGCTGACACTGTTTGCCAGCCTCAGTTTGACTCCAGATCACATATAAAATTCATAAAATGCGTGGCGGACTCAGTTCAATATAGGACCGCAAGGGGTTAATAGGGAATATAATGCTGAAATTTATAGGATACCTATGGTAAATTTAATAGAATTAAACTGTTGGAAATGTTGGCAGTGAATAATCAGATTCATGATGCTTTAATATATACTCATAGTAAAAATATAATCTGATTTACCTGATTGGAGGAGTGAGACATAGTTGTGACCTTTCATGTTGTTTGTTTCTATTTTATCTTATAAAACATTGGATAGAGAGGAATCATGGAAGAATGTGTATCATAACAATGTTAACCTGCTTGTAGATGACAAAGTGGTTATAACCCAAACTGAAGACGAATTACAACATGCTCTAAATAAGTGCTATAGAGATGTCATCTTTGGTTAATGGAACAAAAATTGTAATTTTTGCGTAAAAGCCTTGTTTTTAGTGAAATTTGTACTACAGACAGACAGATGACCTTCTTCTATCTGGGCTGCATTGAGTGTATCATGTGAAGATGAGAAGGTTATGAGGAATATTAAGAATTTGTACAAGTGATTGCAACAATAAATTGTTTATTTATACCTTGATTAGCACAAGAGCATACTAAATTTAACAACATTTACAGAACTTTGGGAAGACCTGTGTTGGCGTATGGAAGTGAAGTCTGGACATTTAGAAAAGTAAATGTGAAGAGATTATCATATTTAAAAATTGAAGGTTTAAGAATTACAACTTACTGTTAGGTCTTAAAATGGAGACTTTCAGAAGAATTAAAATTCAGTCTGTTATCACATTTATAAAAAAATGCTGAACTATGATGATTGTAAACATTGTATAAGAAGAATAAAAAACAACACAATATCAAAACAGATTATAATAACAAATATGGGAAGAAGAGAAGTTTAAGAAGATGACTGAAGAGGTGGCATGAAACCTTGCCTTAACAATCCACATGGCCTAATGCCTGAGGGAAGAAGATTACGGTTAACAAAATAAAAGTATCCAGACTATCACCAGATATAAGTTGCTTTAATATGGACTGAAAAGAAGTTTAGAATGGGAGGCGTAAACTGCATTATACCCCAGCTTGCTGGTGTCAGGTACCAGCTGCTGTGAACGTGATGCAACCTGAAGCACGGCTCAGTAGCAAGCGATAGGTGCGCGACGCTCAGGTGGTGGACTATGCTGCAGGTGTCATGAGAGCCTGAAATCATCTACAGAGATGCAGTTACTAATGAGTACTAAGAAATCAGCAGTGAGGGATGTTGGCTATCTTTATGGATATGTGTGATGACAGAAGTTAGGAAATATGTGCACAAAATACAATTCCTGGCATGACCCGTAGCTGAGGGTATAGGTCTTCATGTAAAGTGTATGTTACAGCTGTGAAGACTCCCAGTATATAATTTCATGGACATTTGTTCAGTTTTTTCAGTTGCATGCATACAGATGTATGAATGAGCAAGGCAGTTTTGCAGGGATGTGGACACAGATGAACAGAAATGCAAAAGGGAGGATGTTGTAAAATGGATAGTGCTTTATTGTGAGAAATACCCAATGGAAATGTGGGAAAGTAGCATAAAGCAGATATCACCACTTCAGATTGTTTGCAGGAGGACTGCCATCATCAGGACGAGTTGATGCCTGTGTTGTATTATCACCGCCCTGTGTCTGTTGATGTGAACAAACAGCCATTGGCTGGTTGTGTGATTGGCATCAGTTCCTATACTGGAAAGGAAAGAGACTTCATCTTTGCACTGGCTCAGCTCTTGGGAGCTGTGTGAGTAGAATATAATGGTTATTGTACCATGTCCTGTGACTTTTTAATAAGATTATGACTTGTGCTAGGTTAATGCAACCACAGTGTTTGAATTTTATAAACTTTGAAACATGATAGAATTAGCAGCTGTTCTAGTTTTAATACAGTGAAACCTTATTAATTTCATATTGCATACTTTATCACAGAAAGATAGTAAAATGACCTGTTTAGGAAAATGGAGATTTTCATAATTTATAGTGGAGATAGTTTGGAAACTGATAAGTTTGTAATTCAGAGTAATTTTAGTCATGCTCAACAGCATGAAAGTGCGTACCTTCCATGATCTTGAAGGATACATCTTGAGTGAGTCAGTGATACAGTAAACAGATGCTTATTAGAACTAAGCTTATTTCTTGTTTCTTCATGTGACTGTAATGCTCCATTTCAGCACATACGAAAAGTGAAAGGTAAGTGCATGAAAGCTGAGAGTAATAGATTGAATAGCCTTCATGATTTCTTAACATTCAGAATTTTAAACATTAAAGTGAATATTATTTTAAAATACCCCCATATTTCATACTACAGAAATGAAGGTGGTAGGCAGGACTAATCTGTGGTGAAGGTGAAATAATTTTCACATTAAGAAACTAATGTGGTAAATTACAAGGCTTGTCCATATTTTAACTTTTATTATTCCATAATTTTACTAGCAGTGTGAGTAATCTGCAATGTGGTGTGTGCTTTAATGTAATCATAAACATATTTTTGTATTTTAAATTTCAAAGAAATTAAATCTGGCAGGTACTTCAGGGAAAAATAATTTAAAAGCATTGATGTGGCTTATAGATGATATATGGATTTTTCTTCTTAAAATTTGGCTTATATGCATGCAGCTTATATTTACAAAAATACACATGAATGGTGACTTGTTTTAATTTCTTGCTACACAATTGTTAGTAATGTCACAAGCAGTACATAGCTTGCCTGGTATGTCATAATGGGATGGGCGTGAGGTGAATGGACAGTTACGATATCCATTTTTACAAAGACGTTTCAAATATTCTATTACGTTGTATATATTTTAGAAGAACTGAATGTTTTGATTTACAATATTTGTTTGTATGATACTTTACAATTCAAATTTGTCCTATGTGACAGAACCCAAGAAACATTTGCACGAAAAAGCAATGAGAAGAAGAATGCACTAGCATCAACACACTTGATATGTTGTGAACCTGGAAGCCAGAAGTACAATGCTGCTTTGAAATGGAAGCTGCCTGCTGTGAGTCATGAGTGGCTTTTAGCTTGTGCTAAGGAGGGACAGCGAGTCAATGAGGACACTTATCTTGTTGGAGAGAGTTCACGTAAGACTGACATGTCCTGTTCTTCAACTTTATAATTTTTAGCAGGTAGCTCTGCACATTACCAGACTTCAGGAAAAATTGATAATGTCAAGCTAGCTACTAATTCCTTCCAAAATTTGAGAAATTTCAGATATTTGGAAAGGATGGTAATGAATCAAAATTGCATTAATAAAAAAATGAAATATGGGGAACAATTGCTAGCTTGCATTTCAGACTCTTTTTCCCCCTAATATGCTACCTAAAAACATAAAGATTAAGTTAATAAAACTATAATTTTACATGCTGTTTTGTATGGGTGAAATTTGGTCTGTTATATTAAGGGAAGAACATAGAGTGAGGGTGTTTGAGAATGGGGTGCTTAGGAGAATATTTGTACCTAAAGGGGATGAAATGTTAGGAGACTGGAGAATATTGCATGATGAGGACTGCATGGTTTGTACTCTACCAGTTATTAGAATGTTTACATTATAGAGGATGAGATGGGTGGTCATATAACACGCATGGGGGATGTAAGAAATAGATACAAAATTCTAGTTGGAAAATCAGAAAGGAAGAGACCATTTGGAGGACCTAGGTGTAGATGAGATGATGATATTAAAATGGCTGTTAGGAAAATAGGTTAGGAGGATGTGGATTGGATTGATGTAGTTCTGGACAGGGATCTTTTAACCTTTGGATTCTATAAAAAGCAGGCAATTACTTGAATACCTGAGTGACTATCAGCTTCTCAAGAAGGACTCTGCTGCATATAGTTAGTTGGTTAAATAGTTAACAGGTAGCTGATGTTGGATGGGTGCAATTGTCCTTGGGTCCATGCCTGCTTCTTTCTTTTACATATCTACTTGATTATTTGTTACTGTGCTTTCAGTCTTTCGCAAAAGGTTCCATTCACACATTTTTCAAATATCGGTATACTTTTTTTTCAGGTTCTATAAATATGCCTTACAAAGTAACTGAAGCTGCAAAGACAGATGGCTCAGCAGCTGTCCAGATGAAGGATGATAAGTCTAAGCCTGAAGGCAGTATTGTTGATGCACAGGCCGCAGTGCCGGAATTGAAGGCTGTTAATAAAAGAGTTGTGGAGTTGCAGACAAACACTGCAATGGGCCCTCCTAGTCTTCCTGTAACACCTTCCTACAAAAGTAGGCATGGCTTTAGCCAGGAATCTCCATTACATATTCCAAAGATATCAGAATCGACTCCAAAGAATGATACAGGTTGGCCAGGAGATCCAAATCAGCCAACTCCTAAAGGACCATTTTCTGTTTCTACGCCTCAAACTCCATATGGCCAGGTTCTGAAGCCTGACCCGTCACCTGACACAAAAAAGAACTGGAAGAAGTGGATTGATAATTTTCCTGATTTTGGGAAGGAGATAGTCTCTCCAAAAAGGAAGAGAAAACTGAGTACCGTAAGATTTTGTAATTGTATGTGTCTTATTTAAAAGTTCACCCTTCAAAGGAGGCTCTTCAAGATATACAAATATTTTAAGTGTTTTGCAATGCCAGCATTACCTTCATGTGGTGCACTGGGACTCCAGAAATTGGTTTATGTTGCCACTTCCTCATTTAAGTTTAATTATTTTATTCTGTATAAAGTTTTGTAAATAACCAGTAGGTTTGAATTAATTATAACCAACAAATATTTAATAGTTCCTAAACATTAACTCTGTTTTTGTGAAAGCTTGAATGAAAGTATATTTTACACCTTATAGAATATTATCAAATGCACAGTTTTAGATGAATACTGTAACCTTGGTCATAATGCCTTGCAGTCCATATTTAAATTAGTTTCCTTTAAAGGGTGAACTTAATTTTTACAATATAGAATCAGTAGGTAATGTCCATACCAAAATTACTTAATATGAAGATTTCTGTCTTCTGGGTTCTTGTGCTGTGTAGTATGGTAGATGTTTACCAACATTTCAGAGGTCATACTGCCTCCGTCATCAGGGCGATGAATGTGTCAATTGCCAACCAACCAAAAAGCTGTCTAAGGGCAGAGTCCTGCGCAAGCGCAAGACATCGTCCCTTGCTATATAACTTGATTCCTGCATATGAAACGCATTACTGGAAATGGTAAACAGAGCGTTATAACTAAAACGGGAATTTGATTTTGCTAACAGGGTTCTGTCGTGGCTGGAGCCTCGACCATTCAAACTAGGGTCTGTTGCTGTTGATGGGAGGTTATCCCGTCAGACAACTTGTCCAAAAGAATTTGGTGGATTGGTTCTCTGGGGTTTGAATAGTGTCTTAAATTTATTTAAATATATAAAACCATAATTTTTTCTGTGAAATGTGAAGTATTGGTCAGGAAATCTGAAGGAAAGAGGCCACTTGGAAGACAGGCATAGATGGGGGGATAATATTAAAATTGGTTCTGAAGACATGGGGTGGGAGTATGTGGATAGGATTTATCTGAATCAGGATGGAGGCTAGTGGCAGACTCTTGTGAGCATAGTAATAAACCTTTAGGTTCCAAATGAAGTAGGGTATTTTCTGATGAACTATGTGACTTGGCTTCTTGAGAAGAACTGTGCTGTGTGGAGTTTGTTAGCTAATGGGGATTTATTCAGTGTCATTGTTCTGTGATATGAGTAGAATAGGAAGACTGTTGCGTGGTCTGTGGTACATTTATGAACTTCAAAGGTCTAAAGAGGCAGTGGGTGCCAAGATTAATGAAGATTGGAAACACTGAAATGTTTCCTTAATGGCAGATTTTCAAGTCACTGATGCTGTTAATTTGTGCTTTCAGCCGATGTCTGAGTTGAAGCGCCGCTGTTGGCAAATGATTCTTCCGAAAGATAAACAACCAATTCATGATGTAAGTAACAAAACATTCTGTATGATGTAGTGCCTTGAAATATCATATGTTCATGACTTTTAGCTAGATTTATCTAGACAGTTAGGTCTTCAGGTAATAAAATGCAGATGTTATAATGGAATCAGGGATTAAAATGAGACATGGATTTGTTCTGTTCACTGTTACAGTTAATTATTTCTTGATTGATGTTTGGTCACTTTTCAAATTACAATTTTGAGTATAGATGCCAGACTTCACACTGGATGTAACTGTTATGTTCTCACAGCTCCACTGTTGTTTCTTTTTAAGTCACAATCAGTAGCTGTGCACAATCAACTGCTTATCCTTTCTGCCATCACAGTCATTTCACTGCAGTACACTGTTCTGTACTTGGTAGCTCCACACAACAAATTCACACTCTACTAATTTCTATATAGGTGCACAGACAATCTGAGAAGGGACTTAAATATTGCATTGCTTTTGGGATATTTTTTGATAATTCTCCAGTGTTTGACACCATTTCAGATGACTTAGGTTCTTTCAATTTCACTCGGGACTGTTCGGGATCAGACTACTGCTCGTACATTCCAAATGTTGAGTTGCACACGTCTCTTGTCGATGCAGTCATGGTTAAAGGAGAGTGAAAGGCTGCAGGAAAGGGACGGGGGAATTTGACATATTATGTGTATATAAATTATCTTTACAACTTTACTTCTGAATAAGATCTTTATGAAAAGATATAGACACACTATATGAGCAAGAGAAACTCTCAAAGTTTCACTGATTTCCCAGTAGTTGCTAGTATCCATTGTTTTCCAGTGCACTGCATCCATCTTTGTGAATCAGGTCAGTTGCCATGAACCTGCAAGAGAAGGCACATTGCATGGAGTGGTTTGTTGAAATGAAATTGAATGCACAGTTCCAAAGATGTTCCAGAACAATGCATCACAGGATGTCACCATCAAGACTGCTGATACATGTCTGGTACAAACATTGTAAGGAGAGCAGAAGTGTTTTGCACAAGAAAGGTACAGGTCCACATGTGTTTGATGAAAATGTCGAAAGGATATGCAGGCTCTTTGTCCGCATTCCACATAAGTTGACACTAGCTGCAGCTTGTGAGTTGCAAATGCCGCATTTGTCAGTGCATTGGGTGTTACAAATATATTTGTGTGTGTATGTTTACAAGTTGCAAGTAATTATGCCAGTAATTACACTCATAAGGAATTTTCAATGACCATGTTTGAGAAACTGGATGAAGGCAACAAATTCCTGAGGAAATTCATGCTCTTTGAGTAGGCTATATTTCACGTTTCAAGGAAGGTAAACAAACTGTACATATGCATTTGGGGATTATAACATTCTCATGCTTCATTTGAACACATTAGAGACAGCCAAAAAGTTAATATATGGTGTGGCCTGTTGCACAGTCATTTGATTGGATTCTCTTTCTTTTCTGAAGTGTCTGTGACATCCAGCAAATACCTGAATATGCTGGAAAACTTTGTCTATCCACAGTTACAAGAACTGCAGCCTGCTATATTTTTCTAGCAAGACAGTGCACCACCACATTAGATCTTGATTGTGTGTGCATATCTTAATCAGCATTTTCCAAATTATTGGATTGGCTGTGCAAGTCCCACCTCTTAATCTCTTAATCGGCCAGATCACCAGATATCACACCCTGTGATGTTTTCCTGTGGGGATACGTAAAAGATTGTGTATCCAACTCTGATGGCTGACATCAACGATTTGAAGGACAAAATTGCAGCTGCTGTAACAACAATTGATGTTGATGTGCTGCAGCATACATGGATTGAGCTTGAATATTGTTTGGACAGTGTATGTGTGACAAATTGTGCCCATGTTGAATGCATGTAATTTGCAGAACAAACTTTGAGAGTTTCTCTTGCATATGACACTCAAACAACGTGTCTGTCTTTTCATATAGGTTTTATTCATGAGTAAAGTTGTAAAGATAATTTATATACACTCTGTATCTGTTTTACTTTATTTTGTAATGTCTTTTCAGAAATTACAGATTTTCTTGTACTATTGCTAAACTGACAAATGCTCGTAGACAGAGGTATTTTCCAACTCATAATTTGGACCAAGCTGGATGACTGAAATTGCACCAGTTTCAGTTTCGAGTCATGTTGGTGGCTTAGTCTGCATCACATAAATGATGGGATAATACTCTGAAATATGTTATGGACATCTTCCAGATCCTTACCAGAGAGAACAGTGGCCATGTCTGTCATTCTATCTTATTTGACTCACTGTTACCTTTGTACTTCAATGGGCATTTTTAGTCCACCTAAGAATTAGCCAGTCTTTATTTTGGATGATTGTATTTGACACTTTGCCGCATGATGTTACGGAGCCTGTGTTTTCACCCCAAACAACGTGCACTGTCTCTCTCAGCATAACTTTTATTTGTGTGAGGAATATGACTTGTGAGGTTCAGTAGTGTTGTTTTATGATGACACACTGTTAATTAGCTTCATATTTACAGTAAAGACCAATGAGGAATGCAGTAAGAATATTTTTATAGTGAAAATTATATTTTCAATTGTGCAGATAAAATGCAGTATTGTGGTTTGCATAGGTTGCTACACATTCTCAGAATGGGATAGATTCCACAGCGAATCAAGTTGTTCCTGTGTCCTCCAATGGAAAGCAGACTTCATGTTCAGGATCTCCACTTGTCTACAGAATGGTGAGTTTCAATTTTGTCCAATGTTATATTGTTACAATCATGCATTTTGTTCTAATGATTCAAGAGGTGCATGCTTAATGTCTTAACTGGATTTATCAAAAACGTTTTCAGGCTTATATTTTATAAGAAATTTTAAACAGGTTAATTTACAATCCCAAATATTCATTGATACAGATTTTAAAGTTTATGGTGTTAATGTCTTACCATCTTACCATGACATGTGAATGTTGTTACTGCATATCGGTAATATAAATAAACTATTTATTTCTCAAATGACTGAAAAATGTATATAACTTATACATTTTTATTCTGAATGGTTCTGATGATGATGTAATACACCTGGATTGTTGGATTTTTGGGCCTCGTGAGAACTAGATCTGTCCTCGTCTTCAGATGTAATGAAGGGGGCATCTACTCTGTGGGGTTCACTTGAATGAATTAATCCCAGTCACTGGATCTTCCAGCATTTTGAGTTTTGTTTCGTAACACAGAATGCCAGTAGCGTAAGACTGTTTGAGTTACAGTTGTATTCTTGTGATTTCTTTGTTCTTCCAGACAGTACTCTATTTTGTAGTCACTGATTCAGATTTTACCTCTTTCTCTGAATTTGAGTGTAGTCTGGAAGAAGTGAAATATTTGAATCTCTCTT